CCATGCAGTGGAGTAGGTGGGTGGGCGGTGGGAGTAACTTCAGGTTCCTCAATTCTTTTGCCTTGCTGTTGGAGGTCTTAAGGCTGAAAGTCATTCAGACTGAAACTAGATAATACAGAACTTTCTCTTGCCAGTACTGACAAACTCTTACAATTACTTTTGATAAATTATTTCCTCTGACACAGTCTTCATCTCTTTTCTACACTTCATCAAAGATTCAGTTCCACGGACCCCAAGAAGACAGCTGTAGAGAGAAAAGCAAGAGGAGTGGAAAAACACCTTTTATGGTGCAACCTTTCAATATTTATTCATTAGTCGATAAACTATAAACAAAATAAAAAGGCAAAACACATAGGCAAAAATTTTTTGTAATACCAAAATATATAAAACCTGAATACCAAGGTCTTATAAAGATATAAGCAATGTAATGTAATGTAAGCAATTATATCAAAGTTTGCTTCTGAAAACTTTAAGAAACAGAACATGACATGAAATACATTATTGAAAAATGCAAATGACTGATATATTTATAAAAAGATGATGAACATCAGTAATAAGTATGAAATATAAACCTAAACCACAGTGAAATTCCATTTTAAAAATTGTGCTTATCAGAGTGGCAAAAAATTTTTAAAGTTAGGGAAAATACCAGATATTGATGAGGATGTGGGAAAACTGTAATTTGGCTTATTGCTGAAAGGACTGTAGATTGTTACAGTCTTGTAGATAGATTAGTATAAACTTTAAAAAATATTTTGGTTATTTCTATTAATATAAAATATAAACAGCCTAAAGAACCAGGATCTCACTGCTAAGAATTGATCTCATAGATACAATATATTGAATATTTAAAGACATTCCCTCTTTCTTTAAACAAATGTTTTTGATTGCTGACTAAATGTCAGGCATATTCTATGCACATGAGGAAACATCAGTGAACAAAACAAAAATCCTGACCAGGTGTGGTGGCTCGCACCTGTACTCTAGCACTTTGGGAGGCCGAGGTGGGTGGGTCACCCCAGGTCAGGAGTTTGAGACCAGCCTGGCCAACATGGTGCAACCTTGTCTCTACTAAAAATACAAACATTAGCTGGGCGTGATGGCATGTGCCTGTAATTCCAGCTAGTCGGAGGCTGAGGCAGGTGAATCTCCGGAACCCAGGAAGAAAAGGCTTCAGTGAGCCAAGATGGCCCCATTACACCTCAACCTGGGCCACAGAGGGAGATTCTGTCTCAGAAAACAAACAAACAAAAAACACAAAAAAAACAAAACAAAGATCCTTGCTGTTGTGGAACATACATTCTTTTGGGGAAAATATCAATAAATGTAAGCAATTATTCTTTAGTCTCAATTTTCATCTCTAGGATGTGATATTTGTCGGAATGGAAGGCATAATCAATGCCTAAGATGTTAATACTGGTAATTCTTTTAAATGTAAAGAAAATATTTTATAAGACTACAGAAATATTTCAGATAACTTGACTAAAACCAAGAGATAAAAAATCTTATGTGACTTATTTTAGATTCAGTGTGTCTTTTTAACATGGTAGCTAAAATTTACATGACAAATCTTATCATAAAATACTTTCCAATTAGCCAATTATCTTATTTCATTTTATAAAATGATGAATTCAATTTAACATTCAACATTAATTAACATTTATTTAATACACTAACATTGAATAATATTCATTTTATATTCTTAATCCTTTATTAATATTTTTATATTTTCAATTTTTTATTAAGAAAAATGTATATGCCATGTGCTAATCTTAACAGTTTTTAACAGTATATACCTTTTTCCTTAACTACCACATGGGAAAGTTTAATCATGATATATAATTAAATTGCTAAAATTATTTTTGATTTTTAGAAATGGTTTTCATTTAATTATTTCTTGAAGGCAAACACTGGAGTTTGATACATAAGCACAGTTATACTCCCCGATTAATGAATATTTACAATTTAGTTACATAAAACATTGAATTTGTTACAAATTAAGTAATGAGATTAATCTTGTTTATAACATATTATAAATAGCTAAATTTCTTATATTGGATTATACCATATAAGTTTGACTTGATTGCTTTTTGTATTTACCTTATAATATTTTTCCTGTATATTTATTTCTCCATGATTTTATAGTCTATAAAACTCATACTAACAGGTTTATTTTAATGTAAAGTTAGCTTTTTTTTCTGCAAGAAAATAAGTCTGACTTAGCTGAAGCACTTGACAACCATTATTGGGTTTGCCAACAAAGTTGTATGATGGAGACTTTCTATAAAGTTACGTGATAAAACTGACAAATCTGCAGCTAAAAAGATATGGCAAAAATGTATTCAAAATACACAAAATAAGAAGAGTCTATTTTAAAAATTACATTGGAGATCAGGCATGGTGCCTCACACCTGTAATACCAGCATTTTGGGAGACCAAAGTAGAATAGCTTAAGCATGGGAGTTCAAGACCAGCTTGGACAACATGGTGAAACTCTGTCTCTACAAACAACGAGACTTAGCCAAGTGTGGTGGCACGTGCCTGTGGTCCTAGGTACTGGGGATGTTGAGGTGGAAGTATCACTTGAGCCTTGGAGGTTGAAGCTGCACTCCAACCTGGCAACAGAGTGACACCCTATTTCAAACAAACAATAAATAAATAAAATAAAAATTATATTGAAAAAGTATTGTACAGTTTATGATAATTTAGGTTTTATATTCTCTGTTAGCATATCATGCTATACAAGAGGCCTCTAACTGAAAGAGTAACAGATTAATTAATAATCATTTGATAAATGTTGGTTATGAGAAAGTGAATGACTCAAATGAATTGGTAATAGATTTTGCAATCAGATGTTTTCTATTCTTTGCATTTGACAATAATTTTAGGAGTTCTTAAACTGTCAGCTCATAGATCAAAATAATTTTTGGTAATAACTATTTGGCAGTGCTAATAATAGAAAATTCTCATTTTTCTTTACTTAGAATGATATTAAGTAGCAAATAAAACCACAAGTTAAGAGTGACGTCTCAGAAAAAAGAAGAACCTTTTGCATATTATCTTTAACAGCACTTCTTCCTGGTTTTGACCAAAGGGTCCCACATATTTATTTTGCCTTGGACCTTGCAAATTGTGTCGCTGATCTTGTTCCTACCTTTCTGGGAATAGGGGAGATGGGAACTGGGGGAGACTGGGAGAGTGGCCACAGCTACCTGGTTGCGCAACTGTTTTGCCAGTGACTGGGTGGTAAGTTCAGTACTGGGTTGGGGAAGCAGACGTTTGATTCCATACCATGTTCTCCAATCTAGCTGTGCCAACACCAAAGTGACAATTTGATCACTGTCTGACTCTAGTGTTGCCTTCTGAAGAGGAAATAGACTAAAATTTCAGCAGAGAATTTTGTCTTCTCTCTCTTAAATAGACTGAAGACCTCAAAGTCTGAGGATGTGTTTGTTGTCAAAGTAAGTAAATGAATTATTAGGGACAGTGGAATACTAGTCCCAGTCTTTTCAAAGAACTTTTATACTTGACATTTCCAGACTCAGGGGGCAGGTTTTGGTAGGAAGATAAGAACTTCTTTGCTGGCTTAGGGATGCTGGAGCCACATAGCGTAGTGGCAAAAAGGGAGTATGAGTTTATGGATTCAGCCAGAAGTAAACTCAATCCAAGCTTCTGCTCCTTCCCCAACATATGACTGAATGCTGTTTTTCTCATGCACGTGTAGCTCATAGGCATTTTGCCAGGATGAAAAGGAGCAAGGCTTGGAGTTGCTTAGCACAGTGTATGCTAGAGAAGTCCTCAATAAATAAGTGTTAATTTATCATCATTGGTAAGGGTTGGAAGTAATTTCCACTTAGGAGGGGATGATTCCTGGGCTATTCCCCACTCCTTTTTCATGCTCCCTCCCTAGTCTTCTCATTCCCTATGCCCTTGCTCTCCCTCATCTCCTGAGGGAATCAGTCATCATAACACGGACTTATGAATCATGATTGGATAGGAGAATGTGGAAATATATTCAGAACAACACATTCAGGTAAGATGAACAAAACCGGTGACTCGTAGACGTCCTTCCAGTTGTATTGAATGATTATCAGTACCCTGGTGTTCCACCTCAGTGACCATGTAATGGTACATGGTCCTTCTCCCATCATTCTTTTCTTCCACAAACATTTACTGAGTGTCTATTGAATATTAGGTATTCTCCTTACATTAAAGGAGGTTGTAATCTAAGGGATGAGTGAATATATCATTTTAATGGGGTGTCACAATGCTAGAAAGAGATAGTACTTGGGGAGTCTGTGAGATGTTACCTAATACGGTCAGAATGATTTCTAGAAGACTTCTTAGAATGGATAAAAGGTTACTTGAACCTTGAAGAAAGAATAGAAGTTAACCAAGTGGGTAAAGATGTAGCTGGCAAAAAAAGGGCTTTCAGTGCAAAATATAAAATCCTGGGAAGCTTTACAATTTTAGAGACTAAAAGATTAGACAATAACCACTTGTTTTCTCTTGTTTTACTAAGTGTTTTTTTCATTTATTGCTTTATACATCATGATGTCCAGAAAATAAAAATTAGAGACTAGTTTATGATCGCATAAATGGTGAAAATAAGCTTAGATAAAAAAAGTCTTAGGCTTAAAATGACTTTGTTATGTTTCTCATATACTCAGACATGGTAAAATATTCTACACTAGTATTATTGCTTCATCCCTCTTTATTAAATGGTGCATTCTGTACTTTTTTGTTTTTCTTGAAGAAACATAATTTGATCAAATATGCTTGTGAAACAATGGATTTTTATCAAATGCTACCATTACCTCATTGTAATGACTCTTCACTTGAACCCCTTGACTTTATGTCCTTTTAAATGACTTCTGTTATTTATTTGTGGAAATTCCATTGGGGTGGAATGCACTTTTTATTTTTACTTTCTATTCATGATTTTGATATTTAGTCATACTTCCTCCACAGCTGCATATTGATCACTTATTCTGTTCCAGGCACTGTGTCAGAAACTGGGAATAAAACCACGAACAAGAGTCTGCTCTTAAGCAACTGACATCTAATCTGTGTTTTAGCAGAAGGGTAAGAGGAGGGGCTGAAGCCAAAGTAGGATGGGTGGGAAGTAAGGATACAGAGAGGTAAAGGGCAGTTAAATACAGCCATGATACTGGGGTTTGGGGCCAATGCAGAGGGTGCTTCGGAATACTAAGGGTAGAAAGAAGTAAAGTATCCCAGATGAGATAGTTCATTTAAATGAAACTAAGAAAACATACAATTGTAAGAAGATGTAATATTTACAATTTATGGAGATCCAGTGAAAAATGAGGCACAAGAGGTATAAGTCCATTTTGGATTTTCCAGTCTTAGTCAATCCCCCAGACAACTGTAGACACATGAGAGACCCCAGATGAAACCAACGACACATTGAGCTGCATTCATCCTCAGATTGCAGAATCTTGAACAAACAGATGATTGTTGTTTTAGATCACCATGTTTTGGGGTAGTTTGCTACACTCTAATGGATAACATGAACACCTGGGCTAATTATCATTCAAGTGCAAGTTCCTTCCCAAACCCAGTCTATGGTACCTTTCACCTGAAAAGTCTCTTTCACAGGGTGTGTCATTTTACTATCTCTCAGGTTGCTCCTTGTGTGGAGACTTTGCCATTCTCTAATATGCTCTCTTGCCTTCCCACCTTGCCCAGTTTCAGCAAATACTCATTGGTCTGAAATACTCTGGAATCTATGAAGATCTTCAGGGAGTATGGAAGAGCCCAATTCAAGATGCAATTTTCTTCCTGGTTTTATTTAAATGGAGTTTGCTGTTTTCCAACCCAAAATGCCACAACCAAACAGAAATGTCTCTAATTGATTAAAAGAATTGTGTTTATTGCCAACAAGGAGACATCCTTTCTCAACATAATAAAAGGCGTTTTTCTTCCCTTAGAGCAATTAATTAGATAGGGAGTGTGAACAAGCCTTAGAAACATCTCTAGTTCCATCTGAGGAATGAGTGATAAGCGATGCGATGGCAGGAACCAAGCTTAACTGGGATGAAGGAGAGAGTGTGTTCTTTGAAGGGTCAACGTCTGTATCAGAAGAGGAGCAACTGGGCTGTGTCCTAGAGATTGTTTCCCACATACAATTTAACTTCCTTAAAGGAACTGAGGTATAGGTAAGGGTGGATCACGGGACTATGATCTTTGTCAGGAATATCATTTTTAAAAGTTTCCTTAATTATGTACCCCAAGGTTATGAGTTGTCTCCAATTGTATTTTGCAATAGCAAATGGTAAGTTTTGCTGAGAGAGACAGTTTTAACTCTGACAAGGTAGTTCTCCAGAGTCTTATTACACAATACAAGATTACAGAATCAGCTCTTATTCTGGAAATTTGCAACAGTTTGTGCTCAAGTGACCCTCCCTGAGCTTTGAGTGTTTGGCAAAGGAAGTGAGATATAAGAGGCAAAACAGAGTTCAGCTATTTATTTCTTTATTAACTACATGTAACCTAAACAGAATCCAAATGATGACTCCATAGCAATGAACTAACAGAGATTTTATGAAATATTTGCTCATATAATAATACGATTACATCATTGAAACTTTAGATTTGAAAAAACAGTATAGTCTTATCACTTCTAAGCATTAGTATAAGACAGCTTTGATATCAAGTTCTATTTATATAGCTTACACGGTTCGATTTCTCTGTGAAAAAAGTTTTATTGTGTATTGGACTTTATTCAGGGTGATTTCTGACTTAAAACTGCTTTCTGACAGCATCCTCTATAACTTTGCCCCCTGCCCTTCTGATATGTATCTGCTGGGCAAACCTTTAGTCAACTCGGATGTTTGCCTTTTCTCCTCTTACAACTTGACTGTCAGAAACAGTGATCCCATTTCACAAATAGTACTACTGAAAATTTGTGGATAGCTTTCAGTTCAGTGCAACAAATTTTTTCACTAACTCACCAAAGGAGCTGTTCCAAATTATCAAAATTCTCCTCAAGCACAGGGAACACTGCTACCTTCTTTTCTTTTTACCAACAACTCTTTCAGGCAGAATGTGTCAAGAAAACAAATCACAGGAGGTATTTTGACAGAGAAAACTGAATATAGGAGATTGGTTTCAGAGGGATTGGAAACCTGAAAAAACAGAAGGGAAACTCAGCAATAGCCCAGAGATAATAATTGTAAAAAGCAGCTACCTTTGAGGTGGGAGAGTTCCCTGGCCCCTGCTTCTTGCAGGACATGTGACAGGGGTGTTGCACTCTGTTCAGCTGCTGGGAGCTCAAATCTTTTACGGGAGTGGGAGCACACAAACGGGCCAGATGCAGGAGCTGGGGCAAGTGCTTTGGGCTCCACCTTCGCCACCAGTAGTGTCTAGGGGTGGGTGTCTGCAACTCCCAAAGCCCAAGTGGGTGTGTTACAATGGGCTCTTTCAGCTTTGTCATCAGCAGATGGCTTGAGTGTTAACCAGCTCAGTGGACCCTCTCTGCCTTTTTGCAAGGGCAGAGGGCCAGTTTGGCAGCTTTCTGTATCCTGAGCTCTTGTCCAGCATGTTAGAAGAATTGGGTCACACACAGACTTGCAGGAATAATGCAGGGGTTTTACTGAGTGGTGGAGGTGGCTCTCAACAAGATGGATGGGGAGCTGGGACAGGGCTGGAGTGGCAAGGTGATCTTTCCCGGGACTTTGGTTGTCCAGTGGCCGAACTCCTCTGTGACCACCCCCAGTCTAACTCCTCTCAGAACTCAGATGCTCCTTCTCTTCACCCTTTCTCTGCTGTGCCATTCTGCCATTCATCTGCTTGTTTCCTGTCTCCTTCTCTGCTTCTGGAGCCTGGAGTTCAAGTTTAACATGGGTACAAGACAGGGGGTGTGGTGGGCTAAAAGTCAGCTTTTTGGATGCCAAAACAGGAATGGCTGTCCTCATTTAGGGCCACGGGTATCCAGGCTTGAGGGTGAGGCCTTTGCCAGAGAACTGCCCTCTTTTACCTAGTATTCCCTGTCTCCTGTCCGTATCACCATCTCTTAGGGCTGGGAAAACAGAATTGGGGGTAAGAAATCAAGGGAGGCTGGTGTGGTGGCTCACGCCTACAATCCCAGCACTTTGGGAGGCCAACACAGGTGGATCACTTGAGGTCGAGTTCAAGACCAGCCTGACCAACATGGTGAAACCTCATCTCTACTAAAAATACAAAAATTAGCTGGGTGTGGTGGCAGGTGCCTGTAATCCAAGATATTTGAGGGGCGAAGGCAGGAGAATCTCTTAAACCCAGGAGGTAGAAGTTGCAGCAGTGAGCCAAGGTCATGTCACTCCAGCCTGGGCGGCAGAGTGAAACTCTGTCTCAAAAAAAAAAAAAAAAAAAAGAAAGAAAGAAATCAAGGGAGGGGTTCTGTGGAGCTCAGACCTCTGAGGAGGGAAGATGACCTGGATGTTGCCAATACCTCTTAAGGGATGCAATGAGACTGAGATAAGAGCCCAAAGAAGCTGGCAAAGAAATTTGGGAAAAATATATTTGCAGAGTCTCAGCACCAGCACTGTAGATCATAGTACAGGAAGTAGGTTTTGGAGAGACAATAGTCAAATAGCTGGTATAATTCACGCTTTTGCTCTGTGTCTTAGTTCGTTGTCTTAAAAACATCCTTAAAACACAGGCTTAGGCACTACTGCATAACTGAGCAGCAGAGAGGCAGAAATAAGGAAAAAGGGGAAACATTCTTTGCTGTTCCATCTAGATCTCCTCTTCAAGGCCCTTTCCCAGTTGCTCAGCATTTCGGCTTTTGAAGCCTCGTAGTTGATTTGTGCATGGGAATTGCCCTTTGATTTGTGCATGGGAATTGCCCTTGGCAAAAGGAAACTGCCTTAAACTCGTTTATCTCTCTCCCATAGGGTGCCCAGAAGTCAAAGTCCAGACATTTAAAAGCCCAAAACTGTTGTCTTAACACAATTCTGAAGAACTATCATGGTTCCAGAGCTTCTCAGAAGGTTGTCTGAGGTCTCAGTTAAACTGCGTGGCAGGTCAGCTCAACTTTTTGTCTTCCCCTCCCCTCCTGTCTTTTTCACTTCTTTACAGGTGTATCTCACAAGAGCACTACTCTAGCAACCTGCATACAGCCCTCCATCTCTGTCTTCAGAAAATGAATGCAAGCTAGTGGGATAGGATGGATTCTGGAAACTCTCCTCTAAAATGGATCACTCACTGATAGGTTGACATTGTGAACACCATCACTGGTGGCAAGTGGATGCAGATAATCCTTGGCACATAAGTGAAGTGCTATTGTTAAAATTCTCACCAGGGATGAACTAATGTGGCATACAACTGGAAGGAGACACATCAGGTGACAAAATATTTTTGGCACTTGAGGTATATGAGGGACATGGAACCTATAATAGCCATGGTCTTGTTTGGCCTTCCTGTACACCGTTGAGTCATTGGAGAAGTGGTGATTATCCATCAATTGATGATGAAAATGTATAAGCCAGATTGTCTCCTAGCGAGCATTCAAGGAAATCCTTAATCTCCTGCAACCAGAGGACAGAGTCGAAGACCAGGCCTAGAGTTAACAGAAGACTAGTAAGACTTGAGAGAAGGTTGAATTATTATCTCCAGAAGATATTTTACATCAAGCTCAGAAAACGAATATGAAAGGAGTGGGACTCTGAGAATTAAGATGGGAAAATCTGGTTAGATTCTCTTCAGAACCCTGAGTTCTCAGAGTTCTCTGAAATCTTAGGTTCTGTGGAAATGGTCAATGCTTTCCATTAGAAAATAGTGATTTCAGTTGGGCACAGTGGCTCACGCCTGTAATCCTAGCACTTTGGGAGGCCAAGGCGGGTGGATCATGGGAGGTCAGGAGTTCGAGATCAGCCTGGCCAACATGGTGAAACTCTGATTCTATTAAAAATACAAAAAATTAGCCAGGCTTGATGGCATGTGCTAGTAGTCCTAGCTACTCTGGAGGCTGATGCAGGAGGATCACTTTAGCTCTGGAGGTGGAGGTTGTAGTGAGCCGAGATCATACCACTGCACTCTAGCCTGGATGACAGAGTGAGACTCGGTCTCAAAACAAAAAAATAAAAAAAAGAAAATAGTGATTTCTCCTTGTTTTAACATCATGCAAAGGCTCAGATGAGCCAGAGCTTACAAGAGCTTGTTCTTTATCAGGATATAGATGAAATTCCATTTTAGGTAACCAGAGTCAAATCTCAGAGACTGGGAGCAAGAATCAAACCCAGCATAACCAGGCTTGAAGGTGACAGTCTGCTAAAAAAGAAGAGGCATACTATGCTGAAGAAGCTGAAACATGTGTGCCAGCAGGTTTGGAAGAGTATACATTGGAATGAATCCTGAAGATGCTGGATTAAGGAAGGCACAGCATACAACTGGACAAGGGAGCATTCTTTCTTGATATAGAATTTAACACCCTAGAAAGAATTCTGGTAGACAATGCTTTATGACTAGTCCCATAGGTTCACTCATTTACTTTTTCTCCAAACCATCCTGTCCCAGAACTTCCAGTGCTGTTCTCACAAGCCCATCACCTATAAAAATCAGCAAAAATAAATAAATAAATAAAATAAAATAAACAGCCATCTGTAAAAAGAAGAACAGATTTGACTTATAAATAAAAATATATCACTAAAAACAACAGACATTTTTTTACCTACTAAATGAGCAAAAATTTAAAAGACTCAGAAACTTATCTGCAAGAATTTTGAGAATTAAAAACTTTCACGTATTGCTGATGAGAATTAGAATTGGTATGATATTCCTTGAGGGGTATACTGGTATAAATTTTTAAAATGTTACATGTGCAGACTTTTACTTCTGACCATGCATTTCTTAGCCAGTTTTATAGTTTCCTTTTAGATTTGTTAGCACCTTATGTATGATAAATACCATCTTTTGGTTATCGTGTGTATTACAAAGGTTTGGATAATTTTGCTTTGCTTCATAATGTATTCACTAAGACTAGAACTAAGGTGTGGCAAGAAAGATGCTTATAGTACAAAATTGAAGGAAGCACTCACTCATGGATGATGATCTTACACTTGCACCACCTTGGGAGTGAATGTCTCCTTAAAAGTAATGTGCTAAAGACCCCACCTTAATTCCAGCCCTGTTATTTATCACTTCTATAGCTTGCTTTAAACAATTAGGAAACTGAGGAAATACATGAAACAGCACTTTTCACACAGTATAAAGCTATGATCTCTAGGAGAAGAAAAACAGATTTAAAATACTTCATGATTTCTGTGGTTTCTGTCTGGTACTTATGAATTATTGGGTAGGAAGGAGGTCCAAAAAATACATCAGTTTAACTCAGTTGAGGAAACAGAGAATTAACAACAGTTGAAGCAACAGGAATTTTCAGGACTGAGTATCAGAGGTGAAAAAAATCATGCAGAGAAAGAGCTTCAGGAACCTGCATAGAAGTTTCCTTGAGTCTGTTGCTGAATGTGAAGACATTCATGTATGCAATGAAACTACATGAAGCTGAGCAAAAAAACTACTAGGGATTTGTGAGCTGAACAATGCCTAGAACTTATAGAGGGCAGGAAAGTTTTAGGATTAGGCTAACTAGGGCAAAAAGTTCTTATTAAACACCTGAAGCATTAAGTAAATACCCTAGAAAGATCAAGCCTTAATAGGTGGGTCAAATTAGCCCTGTAGTAAATGTTACATTAGACACATTCTAGCAGATCTAAAAGCCAAACCTCAAAATAATCCAGTTGATATAAAAGTAATTTAGCTGTCTGTTAAAATGAACTCCAGCCAGCTCTCTTTAAAGGAAAAAACAAAATCTAGGTGCTTAACATGTCACACACACACACACACACACACACACACACACACACACACACACAATGACCAACATGCAACCAAAAATTACTAGATAGGCAAAGAAGCCAATACATGTGAATCATTGTCAGGAGAAAAATCAATTAGGGAAAATAGATCCAGAAATATCAGAGATGATAAAAATTATCCAAGATGATAGATTTAAAAGAAAGTATGAACATCATGAGGAGACACATAACAAAGATACGAAAATAACTTTGATATGGTTTGGCTCTGTGTCCCATCCAAATTTGTTTTGTAGCTCCCATAATTCCCATGTGTTGTGGAAAGGACCTGGTGAGAGATGATTGAATTAGGGGGCAAGTCTTTTCTGTGTTTTTCTTGTGATAGTGAATGGGACTTATGAGATCTGATGGTTTTAAAAATGGGAGTTGCCTTGCACAAGCTTTTATTTTGCCTGCTGCCATCCATGTAAGATGTGACTTGCTCCTCCTTACCTTCTGCCATGATTGTAAGGCCTCACCAGCCACGTGGAATTGTAAGTTCAATAAACCTCTTTCTTGTGTAAATTGCCCAGTCTCAGGAATGTCTTTATTAGCAGCATGAAAACAGACTAATACGGTAAATTTGTACCAGTAGAGTGGGCGCATTGCTGAAAAAATACCTGAAAATGTGGAAGCAACTTTGGAAATGAGTAACAGGCAGAATTGGAAGAGCTTAGAGGGCTCAGAAGAAGACAGGAAAATGTGGGAAAGTTTAGAACTTTCTAGAGACTTGTTGAATGGCTTTGACATAAATGCTGATAATTATATGAACAATAAGGACCAGGCTGAAGTGGTCTCAGACGGAGATGAGGAATTTATTTGGAACTGGGGCAAAGGTGACTCTTGTTATGTTTTAGCAAAGAGACTGGGGGCATTTTGGCCCTGCTCTAGAGAGCTGTGGAACTTTAAACTTGAGAGAGATGATTTAGGGTATCTGGTGGAAGAAATTTCCAAGCAGCAAAGCATTCAAGGTGTGACTTGAGTGCTGTTAAAGACCTCCAGTTTTACATAAAAGTTCAGAAAATTTGTAGCCTGACAATGCAATAGAAAAGAAAATCCCAGGCTGGGCATGGTGGTTCATGCCTGTAATCCCAGCTGCTAGGGAGGCTGAGGGAGGAGAACTGCTTGAACTGGGAGACAGATGTTGCTGTGAGCTGAGATTGTGCCATTGCACTCCAGCCTGGGCAACAAGAGTGAAACTCCATCTCAAAAAAAAAAAAAAAGAAGAAGAAGAAAAGAAAATTCCATTATCTGAGAAGAAATTCAAGCTGGCTGCAGAAATCTGCATAAGTAACAAGAAGCTTTATATTGACCTCCAAGATGATGGGGAAAATGTCTCCGGGGCATGTCAGAGGTCTCCAAGGCAGTCTTCCCATCTTCCCATCACACGCCCAGAGGCCTAGGAGGAAAAAGTGGTTTTGTGGGCCATACCCAGAGTCTCTGTGCTGTGTGCAGCCTAGGGACTTGGTGCTCTACATTCCAGCCACTCCAGCCATAGCTAAAAGGGTCCAACATAGAGCTTGGGCCATGGTTTCACAGGGTGCAAGCCTCAAACCTTGGCAGCTTCCATGTGGTGTTGAGCCCACTATGCACAGAAGTTGAGAACTGGGATTTGGGAATCTCCACCCACATTTCAGAAGATGTGTGGAAATGCCTAGATGCCCAGGCAGAAGTTTGCTATAGGGTCAGGGTCCTCCTGGAGAACCTTTCCTAGAGCAATGTGGAAGGGGAATGTGGGGTGGAAGCTCCTACACAGTGTCCCTACTGGGGTAGTGCCTAGTTGAGCTGTGAGAAGAGGACCACCATCCTCCAGACCCCAGAATGATAGATCCATGGACAGTTTGCACTGTGTGCTTGGAAAAGCTGCAGACACTCAACACCAGCCAGTGAAAGCAGCTGGGAGAATGGCTGTACCCTGCAAAGCCACAGGGATGGAACTGTCCAAGACCATGGGAATCTCCCTCTTTTATCAGTGTGACCCCAATGCGAGACATGGAGTCAAAGGAGATTATTTTGGAGCTTTAAGATTTGACTGCCCCACTAGATTTCAGACATGCATGGGGCTGGTAGCCCCTTTGTTTTGAACAATTTCCCCCATTCAGAATAGATGTATTTACCCAATTCCTGTACCCCCATTGTATCTAGGAAGTACAGACTTTGGGGGGCTGTTG